TGGAGGGTAAAACTGTTGGGATTATTATTATCTTTATTATTCCAAATATTCAAACTAAGGATATCTTACCGCCTTCGTTTCACGTCATATTTTAATATTTCATTTGACTTATGCATACTTTAATTAAATTATAATTTTAAAACAAGTGGCAACCCTATTCAAAATATTTTAAAACCAAAACCTTGTTAACCATATGGCAACTCTCTTAAATAAAGTTACGAAAAAACATTTTAACCCATGTAAATTTATACCCAAACTTTAATAATTCATTTGACTTATTAAATAATTTCAGTTTAACATTTAATACAGGAAACCCTCTTTAATGTTATAGTTGCTCAAACTAAATATTTCTTAATACTCCTTTTTTTGCGGCAATATTTTAAAATTTCATATAATTTAATTTAATTTCACTTTTCTAACAGATGGCAATCATGTTCAAATTAGTTTTAAACCAAAACCCCGTAAAACCTTTTCGTCTGACACTTGTATTGTGATACATATTTAAATTATATAATACTCTTAATTAAAATTTAGTTTATTTATTCTACGTCAAAAGAGCTTAGGGACGTTCCGATACCATCAAAGTATCGATACCTACTCAAATGAGTTTACTCAAATCCCTATTTCGATACTTCTTATATGAGTGAACGAAATGTATCCATACCTACTTATATCGATAACTTTTCATCCTTTGATATGCAACAAAGCGAAAGTAATTTTCAGGCGTTATCTGTGACATAACTTTTGCGACACCTGAGTGGTAGATCGACCTATCTCGGCAGCCCGATTGAAAGCGCCTTATCTGAGAAAACTTTTCAAAAGCACCGTATTCCAGAATCACTCAGAAAACTTTTCAAGACCACCCTCTTTCAGAACTCGGTACAAAAACGCCCTACCTCAGCTGCCGATTCAAAGCGCCCTATCTCAAATATTTTCAATATATTTTCAGTTGAGGTATCGATATGTTTATTTGATCATTAGTAACATTAGAAGTAATACGATTACTTATACAAAAAATTAAACCTTTGAAAGGTTCCCACAAAACGTTACGGCTACAAGGCATTGCTTGAACTTTGTAAAAATATATCCCCTCTTTAGATTTTGGCGGTGCCATTGCTTAGATCAATTATTTTTCATAAAAGCGAAGCAATTATTTTCCATAGAAAATATATGACCGAAAGATATGGCACTTCCTCAAATCGATTCGATACAAGTACTTTTATTTCGATACTAAGTAGGTATCGATGAAACGATTCAAGTAAAAAACAAAAGTATCGAGTACATACTCGTATTTACTTATATCGGAACATCCCTAAAAGAGCTAGGAGCTAACTCCTAATTCTAGCTAGGAGCTAAATTCTGATTCGGAGCTAAATAGGAAAATAAAGAGCTGTATCTAGCACCAAAATAGCAACACTGGTCATAGCAATAAACTCAAATTTAAAACAAAGATTTTCGTGCACTAGTGTATTAATAAATTCGGTTTGAAATATGCACTTTTTTGTAAATTTCGAGGTGATTAAAAAATACTATGGATGGGGCACCGTGTGCTTTTTGAAAACAATGGGCATTAATCGTAGCTATTTAGATAGAAGAAAAATTTTGATATCATACAAAATGGTTTTGAAAGTCTATGTCATTCCCTTTCACGGCAAAATACTACCATTGTCCCATAATTACTCCTTGACCTTAAAAAAATTGGTCAAAAATAGTGTACTTCGAAAAAACATACAAAAAACACCGGATCTCTTACAAACAAATTGTCTTTGCATATGGATTTGGAGACGATAAAAACGATGCCACTGTTTAAAAAACGAAAAAAATGTAACCCCTTAATTTAAAAAATTCATTATTTATTACATTTTCTATAATTTAATTGCAGCTGTGTGTTTTGTATCTGTCGAAGAAGTCTAAAGGCCCTCCGAGAGCAGTTCCGCGGGATTGCTGTGAAAACTGTCAGCTTTTCATTTCCACCCCACTAATGCATGAATCAATTAGAACCAGAGACCCAGCATAATAATTATTTCATGGTGGGGTTTTAAAAAAACAACAACATTTTTGTAAGAATTATAAAAGTCTTTTGAAAATAATTGTGTGAGAAAATTTTTTAAGTCATCGATAACTAGTATTTTAGAAGTCTTTTCATAATAATTATCAGCGATATAAATACTTTTAAGTCTTCAAAGACTTTGATTTTGAGACTTAAATTATAAAAGTCTTATCATAATAATTATCATTGAGATAAACATTTTTAAGTCTTTCAAAGACTTATATTATAAAAGTCTTGCCATAATAATTATCATTGAGATAAACATTTTTAAGTCTTCAAAGACTTTTATTTTCAGACTTATATTATAAAAGTCTTGTGCAAACTGTCGCAAACTGCTCCCCAACTAGTCCCAAACTGGTCCCTATCTATCTCCGAACTGGTCCCCAACTAATCCTGAAATGCTCCCGAACAAGTTCCGTCTTTTAAGACTTAAAAAATTTTTTCGCGCTCATAATTATGATGAAAATACCTTTATAATATAAGTCTTAAAATAAATGTCTTTGAAGGCTTAAAAATATTTATCTCAATGATAATTATTATAAAAAACGTTTATAAGTCTTAAAATAAAAGTCTTTGGAGACTTAAAAACCTTTATCTCTCTGATAATTATTATGAAAGGACTTTTATTAATAAGTCCTTGAATAATAAATATAGATGACTCGAAAAATATTTATCTTAATATAATGATTATTGATTGACTTTCATTATTTTCTCTTATAATAGTTATGTTCTGATTAGAACAGATCTTACCGGTTGACAAGCGGCCATTTGCAATAACATTTGAGAAAAAAGTGCATGACGTCGTAATATTGAAGTTCGCTATTTCTGTTTTGTTTTTAATATCTCTTCCTTTATGTGTATTTTGCGGTGGTTTATTTCAGTGATTTTTATGGGATTTTCAATAAACTTCTTCTACAATATAATTAAAATGAAGTGCGCGGTAATTGGTTGCAAAAACACGTACAAAAATAATAAATTGGTTATTTCCGCGGGCCTTATTTCACTGCACCGTGGAGAACATTTGAATTATATTCTTTTGTACGTATAGTGGCATTTTTCAAAATATATTATGTAATAAAAAATGTCATCGAAATTTGAACATTTAGTTACTTTCCCAAGGGGAAAGTGGATAACGGATGGACGTAAGAATTTTTCAAATGTTCACAGGTATTCACCTCTTTTTGATTATTAGGTTATAGATATTTCTTTTTTTGGAGATTATCTTGTTCAAAATCGGATAACAAAGTTATAATTCCGTAACCAGATAACTAGGCTATTGTATAAATTATTTATACCTGAGCTTATCTAAAAATATAATGCTGTTACAAAATGCACATATGTAGGTGTTCACACTGATTATTAGGTTATAGATTTTTAGTTTTCAGTGGATTATCTTGTTGGAAATCGGATTAAAAGATATTTGTGGTCATAAGAAATAATTGCCTAAGTCGAAAAACCTTTAAAGATTTGGACTGTAATGTTGACATTATGGTAAAACTACAATATTTTCACCTATAACTTTTTAAATAGCCTAGCTAACGAGATGGGAGTTTCACATACACATGGAATAATAGCTGCAGATACCCAGCAAAAAATCGGTAATTGCTTTTAGTGGTAACGTGTTTTAGAAGGCATAGCGTTATAATGCCTTCGAATTTTTTCGCTTCTTTTAGGCATTGTCGGTAATGCAAAGTAGAATGTCCTACAATATTTTATTTATTTCGCTTCTTTGTTTCATTTTGGGGAATGCAAAGTAGAATGTCCTATAATATTTCTTTTTAATTCGCTTCTTTGCTTCATTTCAGGGAATGCAAAGTAGAATGTCCTACTATATTTTATTTTTTTCACTTCTTTGCTTCATTTCAGGGCATGAAAAGTAGAATGTCCTACAATATTTTTTTTATTTCGCTTCTTTGCTTCATTTCGGGGAATGCAACGTAGAATGCTGCATCGTAGTCAGCTGAAAAATAGAATGAATATCCAAAAAATCTTTTCCTACCGTTAGTTTCTGTGGAAATTTGTCTCGCATAAAAATCATGTTTTGCTTTGTTCAATTTGCAGCGAAGTTGAAGTCAGTAAGTGAAGTACATGAGTGAGGAAGTACAATTTTAAGCTTAATTAAATATGCATGTATGTACATACCGATTTTTAAGTAAAATCTAAATACCCAAATACATAAATATGTTTGTATAAAAACTGATTTATAAAAACTTTAATTAAATTTAATCTTTTAAGACATTTTCTGATATAATATAAATAAGTATGTACTCATCTGGGCATTCTACATTAGTTTCTCTGTAAGGCATTCTTTGTTCGCTTCTCTGGATTCTGTTTATCCATGCGTTCTCGTTTCGTTTGAAGGTAATGCTGCGGGTAAGGGCTTACCGCCCATGTTAAAATAAGGCCTTCCTGAAGCGAAAGGGTAAGCGATTCCCATCGCCTAGCTCGTTACATACATACATAGATGTATAGCATATCGTCACTAGACACGAATAAAGGCGCGAGCTCAAAAGTTGACCGCGAAAATAGGCACATAAACAAACGTCAGCGAAGAAAGACTCGTAACATAGTTGGCGGCGAAGAAAGACGCGTTAAAATTTTTGACGGCGAAGAAGGACGCGTAAACTTATTTTCGCCGTCAACTATGTTTGCGAGTGTAATAGTATGTACATTCCGTTCATAATTTTTGGGGAATAGTGCTGAAGTGACAGTCCTTGGCCAAGTATAAATCTATGATTACGTGTCTTTCTTCGCCGTCAACTAGGTTAGGCGTCTTTCTTCGCCGAAGTTTTTCTTAAGCGCCTTTTTCGTTAAATTTCTGTATGCGTCTTTTTTCGCCGTCGAAACACTAGCGCGCCTTTATTCGTGTCTAGTGACGATATGTAACTCAATACTTTCTTAAGTCGACTTAGACGGTTATTGCTTATGACCACAGATATAATCCCGTAACCAGATAACTAGGGTTGCGTTCATGTTATAAGTTATTTATACCTGTTGTTGTCTCGCTCCAATGCCTTTTGGATACAAATGATAGTGGGAATGAAGGTATCCTCCTCCAGTTTTATGATTTTTTATTGTTAATACCGCACCGTATGCCACATCACGAGGCATGCTGGCATTATACAACGAATTACCAATTAATCGCGACTGAAAAGCAGAACTATAAAATCCATCGCCATTACCGCTCCGATTCAGAACTGTCAGATGAATATAGAAAAACAGCATATAGAGCAAGATCGGCCATAAAACTAAGGTTATTGCTCGGCAGATTATTTGTTTAATTGTCTCTGTCTGTATGATTGAAAAAGAAATTTCAATTAGTATAAAGGCATTAGAATCAATTAGAAATGTTTCAATAAGACTCACAATTGACTTTTTTAAATCTCCAAATATTACCCAAAGTTCATGCATAGTATGAAACCCTACAAGCATCACTACAAAAAGTCCTACAAACTTTGTACTGGTCGTGCAAGCTAACATAGTCCCGGTGAAAAACAACCAAAACCACCACCAGCCTGTGTAAGATATTCTTCTCTCTGTAGCACTTGATGCCTTTGTCATTCCCCAAATTGACGCAGTCATGAAGAAGAGCAGAATCGGATCGAGTAGTATATATTGATTTAATGTTAAAAGACCAACATCTGTTTGCGGCATACATACATATTGTATATAAAACATTAAGATACATGGATTATAAAAAAACCTACTTACCAAATATTAGATAAAGTGTGGAGACCAGAGCTGCTTCACAGGAGTGAGTCATTTCATACACAGTATCAAAAGCCATGGGCATAATCAGGGCTCCAAGAGTGGTACAAAACTAAACAAATAGTAATAATTACTATTAAAAATAATGCAAAATAAATAATACAATCGGCAATAACGAATATTTGTGTTATTTCTCAATTGAATGAGAAATAACACAAATTATCCTTGTTTCATAAATAATAAGACCAACTTTTAAATTTAACAACTGAGTAATATAATATAAATAAAGGAAAATAGCGCACCCAGTCACATTTGACAAAAAGTATGAAAGGAACAAGTTAAATTTACGGATTTGTAAGTATAAAATTTTGGAAGTGCCCAGCGTCGCGGCGATCCGGGTTAGCGCCCCGCCCCACCCCGCGCCGCGTTCGACGTTGCGCTCACGTCTCCATCGAATTTAGAATTCTGAGCGTAGGTAAAATTTTACATATTTTTACACGACTATTTCGTACCTACCACATGTTCGATTCGTCTTCGTAAACGAAATACACAGTTCGGATATAGTGAAACTAGTGATGATAATGCAGAAATTTTAAGTGAAGATAAAATTCAACACAATATTATTTGTGCTTAATGCTGCGAACAGGAACGGCAACGTATGTTTCTTCCATGCCATGACGGAATTATACTAGGTGAAGTAATTAGAGCGAGAAAAAAGATTTTAAAATTTGACTATAACCAAAATGTATTCAACAAAGTGTAATTGAATTTGACACCGCTTTCAAAAGAACCATACTACAAAGTAAAATTGATAATAGTACCTTAAAAGAGAGCCTACCTGAGTTGTCAATCACACCTTGTTTAATACACCTTGTCTATAAGGAAGCTGAATGTCAGAAAATCAAGCGATCCCGCTGTTTTATTACTTGCGCCATGGCAGAGAACTTAGATAGATAGAGAAGGTGCAAATTGAAAGTGGAAACTATTTGTGGCCGAAAAATTAACAGCGTTGAAAAATTTAACCACGGAATGTAGTAACGTGTTTTAACAGCCAGAAATTCTATTGGATTTAATGTTGATTAACATAATAAAATGTTGAGCAACCTAGAATCTGCTCTTCTTCGTGTTGCGAGCAAATAAACGAAAATATGGCAAATCTTCATATAGTTTTCATTAATTTGTAATTTTTGTTAAATTTTTTAATATGTTCTCTTTTCGTGAAGATGCAAATACAATTTAAAAAATTATTGTTTTGCATAAAATTTACACACATACATATGTATGTACATTAGAGTGCTCCAAAAGTGCATGTGAAAAAGTAAAGTCGGAATTTTTATGCTCTCACCCCCTAGGATTGTTCTATACCGATAAAAAGTATACCCCTATTTTGCTACCCGAGCGTACTTGTGCACAAGGGTATTATAACTTTGTTCGCATAACGGTTGTTTGTAACAGCCAAAACGAATCGAAATATATATGGACAAATGTACACATAAATACTCAGAATGAAAAGAGAAATCGATTAAGCCATGTCTGTCCGTCCGTCTGTCCATCTGTCTGTCCGTGTACACGATAACTCGAGAAAAAATTGAAATAGGTCAATGAAATCTAGTAAATAGGTTGCTCTTCATCCAAGGTAGGTTGGGATTGAAAATGGGTAAAATCGGACAATAACCACGCCCACGTCCCATATAATAGTATTTTCGAAATATGCAAAAACTACGATATTTCCGTAAATACTGGATCAAAATTATTGAAAGTTGGTACGCGAAATGGAATTGTGGCATAAAATAAGACAGTTATGAAATTTTTCGAAAACTGAGAAACACTGTGAAAATTTTCGAAACCAGACAAGGAACGCGCCTNTACACACATACATATGTATGTACATTAGAGTGCTCCAAAAGTGCATGTGAAAAAGTAAAGTCGGAATTTTTATGCTCTCACCCCCTAGGATTGTTCTATACCGATAAAAAGTATACCCCTATTTTGCTACCCGAGCGTACTTGTGCACAAGGGTATTATAACTTTGTTCGCATAACGGTTGTTTGTAACAGCCAAAACGAATCGAAATATATATGGACAAATGTACACATAAATACTCAGAATGAAAAGAGAAATCGATTAAGCCATGTCTGTCCGTCCGTCTGTCCATCTGTCTGTCCGTGTACACGATAACTCGAGAAAAAATTGAAATAGGTCAATGAAATCTAGTAAATAGGTTGCTCTTCATCCAAGGTAGGTTGGGATTGAAAATGGGTAAAATCGGACAATAACCACGCCCACGTCCCATATAATAGTATTTTCGAAATATGCAAAAACTACGATATTTCCGTAAATACTGGATCAAAATTATTGAAAGTTGGTACGCGAAATGGAATTGTGGCATAAAATAAGACAGTTATGAAATTTTTCGAAAACTGAGAAACACTGTGAAAATTTTCGAAACCAGACAAGGAACGCGCCTACCTCCCATATAACGGTAATTTACAGAAATATGAAAACTGCGATAAATTAGTAACTATTCCAGCCAATTTACTCAAAATCGATGTATACAATGACCTCCTAGCAGAAAATGCTAATTTGGGAAAATGGGCGTGGCACCGCCCATTGTGTATCTCGGTAACCGGTTTATCAATTTCTACCAAACTAGGTACTTTTATCAGCCTGGGCTCAAAAAAGCGATATGTTGGAAATTTTTGAAATCGTACTAAAATTAACGCCATTTCATTAACGGAAAATTTCAGAAATACGAAAATTCTGATATTTCGATAACTATACACGCCAATTTACAAGAGTCTCTTAACAAAACACAATATTATTGATTTTTTTTTTGGGCGTGGCACCACCCACTTCTGACTATATACATAAGTGTATATTGATAGCCCCTTATCGATTTCCACCAAATTTGCTCCATTTCAATATCTCATAGCATATTATCGAAACTGTTTGACATTTGGGAAAAAAACTCTTGCTTATCATGCAGTTTAATGTAAAGTGAAAAAACGATATTTAATACGTGCGCCGGGTAAATAAAGTTCGGTTTCGCCCGAACCTATGCTTCTTACTACTTACTTACTGATAAAATAATTAGAGGTCGCTCAAAGCGCTCAAAGTTTTCCATGTATTTTTATGTGGAGAAAAAAAATTTTCGTAGAAATCGTATAGAATTCTTAAAAATCTATATTTTTCAAGCCTCTGTTAATATGCAGGAGATCTCAATAATAATATCCAATTGTTTATTTAACCATTTTTTCATCGCAACTATACTTTATAGGTCCGCCAAAAAACCACAAAAACCCTGAAAACTGCAATGGAGGGACCAATAAAAAATCGTTTGTATTAAAAAATTGTTAAATAAACAATTGGGTATTATTATTGAAAGTCTCTTGATGAGACCCAGAACCAACAATTCTATACCATTTCTACGAAAAGTTGTTTTTTTTTCGTATGAAAATACATGGACAACTTTGAGCGCTTTGAGTGAACTCTAAATATTTTTTGATTTCAATATAAGAAAGTAGGGGTATACTTTATTCGATATAGAACAATCCTAGGGGGTGAGAACATTACAATTCCGACGTTACTGTTTTTGGACCACCCTAATGTACATATATATATTATTATTATTATTATAACACAATTAAGACATAGTCTTTTACAGTGCCGTATTTTACATTTCTGAAAACTTAACCTAGTTAAATAAACAATAGATTTATAAAGAAATAATAGGATGAAAAATCAAAATCTTTCGATAATATAACAGTTGTCAAGACTTAGTTTGAAAAGACAGAATGCACAGCCAATTTGAAGCGCCTTGGATTTGATTCCAATTTTAATTTGTTAGGCAATGAGTTCCACAACTTTACGGCTCTAACGAAGAACATTCTAGACGCAACTGAAGACTTAAAATAAGGTACAATAAGATTGCATGTACGAGTTGATTGGGCAAATGTTAATTTAGAAAAATTCGGGCAACGGTTGTAGATTAATTTATACATAAATATTACTAAACAGCGGTCAAAGAATTTAGATAAGCTGCAGTCAGTAATTTGCGTCGAAAGTTGAGAAATATGGTCAAATTTTCTTTTACGGTATAATTATAAGATTAATGATTGATATTTATCTAGAGACGCTTTATGCAGACAACCATATATCAATTCTTGGTACGATATAATAGGCATTAATAGCTTTTTAACGAGCATGAGTTTAGTGTCTTGGTGAACATAAGAAGCAGTTTTTCAAAGCTGTATCAATGCAAAATACAACTTACTAACTGATTCGTTGACATGATCTACACACGTTAGGGTAGTGTTCAGTTTAAAGCCAAGGGTTTTGACAACTTTCTCGAACTTTACAACATTCCCATTCAATACGATTGAAGAAACATCATCAAGGTTGTAGGGAAAATGTGAAATGACTATTGCCTATGTTTTGGACGCATTAAGGTTAAGTTTATTATGTTTCGACCACAGAGAAATAGATTCCAAGTCCTCGGTAATTCTATAAACCAAATCTTCCGCCAGGCCCAGAGGGGCTGAGAGGTATATTTGTACATCATCGGCATATAGATGAATAGATACATTTTTGCAGCATTTTTCTATGTCATTGATGTATAAACTGAATAAAACCGGACCAAGAATAGACCCTTGCGGTACACCAGATTTTACCGGCATTAAACTTGAGTTATTACCCCCAGATACAACTTTCTGTCGTCTGTCTGTCAAATAGCTTTTGCATTTGAGTATGGAGAGGCAACTATCTGGAAGTATTTTACATAAAAAATTTACTAAGTATTGCCCGGTTTGTTGTTGCAGTTAAAGAAAACAAATGAAAATGCACGATTTTTTTTAAATTCGAAAAAATTTAAAT